GGGAGCGGTGGAGGGCTGGCTGAGAGGCAGTGACAGCTGGCTCTGGGCTGGCAGGCTTGGAGCTGGCACAGGCACTGTGGCCAGAGTCAACCCCTTTAAGGGCTCCAGGGAGGAGGAAGGGAGAGGAGTGTTCTTGGTTGAGGCTGGAGTGGCTACCAGGCACCCTTGGAAGCCCGGAGGCCCCCTATTTCAATATAAGTGTCTACACAGCACTTATTTCGAAATAGCTATTTCAAATTTGGCATTATTCCTCATGGAATGAGGTTTTCCAAATTCGAAATAAGCGCTCCGCTATTTCGAATTAATTTCAAAATAGCGGTTTGGCTGTATAGACGCTAGTAAAGTTATTTTGAAACAAGAGCTGTTATTTCGAAATAACTTTTTTGTGTAGACATACTCCCAGGTCAGACAGGCATCTGGGTAAAGGGAGCTAGAGTGAGGTCTCAGATCCTTTCATTATCTGATTCCAAATGGGGTAGTGCTGGAGCTCAGAATGTTCCTCACAAGAGTGGGACCATTCTCTCATTTACATTTATATAAAGTAAATTGGCTGAGGAACTGTTTAATGAATTAGACTTTTTTCATCTCTAAAACACTAGTTTAAATCCAGCCCAGATCAGAAGTCGCTGACAATTATCTCAAATGAATTAGTAATCTCAGGCCAGTTCCCAGTGTACAGATAGATATTCAAGGTACAAAAACATTACTACCACAATTGGCAATCTTGTTGGTCATGGTATTACATGAAAATCAACAACTCAGTGAGCACAGATCTAATTAATCACTTTCCAGAACCTTCTGCCATTTGGGTTGAGCCACATTGTTGGAGCAAGTTATACTTCTATTGCTTGTTTGGTGGATCACTAGGGCTACGTCTACACTGGCCTACACTTATTTCAAAGTAGGAATAAGAGATCCTCCAGAAAAGGGCTTTATTCCGGAGGATCGCGCCAGTCTAGACGCTCTTTTCCGGTTTTTCCCCAAGCCGGAAAAAAAGCGGTGGCCATGTTTATTTAAATCTCGCGGGGGATATTTAAATCCCCCGCGGATTTCCCTATTCCAAAGTTCGAAATTAGCATGCCTCTTCTGGAGAAGGGGCCAGTGTAGACGTAGCCTAGGACTTTATTCTCTATATTCTTTAATTTGGCAATTTCATGAGTATTAAAGTACCTTAAAATAAAATTAATAAAACATTACATTTTACAAAGAGTTTTTAAAAGATATACATTTAATCAAATAATGTAGTACAAATACATTTAATCTCTAACTTGATCTTTTACTTCTCTGTTCAAGATACTAGTGCTGGATTGTGAGGGGAGGGGATATTATTATTATTATTATTATTATTATGGTGTTATTATTATTACAGAATTATTATTATATGGTATAACAAGTGGTGTTCCGCTGGGGTCTGTTTTGGGACCGATTCTGTTCAATATCTTCATCAATGATTTAGATGCTGGCATAGAGAGTACGCTTATTAAGTCTGCAGATGATACCAAGCTTGGGGAGTTGCAAGAGTTTTGGAGGATAGGTTCATAATTCAAAATGATCTGGAAAATTAGACAAATGGTCTGAGGTTAATAGGATGAAGTTTAATAAGGACAAATGCAAAGTACTCCACTTAGGAAGTAACAATCCATTTCACACATACAGAATGGGAAATGAAGCAAAATGCAGGACAATGTAGCACTTTAAAGACTAACAAGATGGTTTATTAGATGATGAGCTTTCGTGGGCCAGACCCACTTCCTCAGATCAAATAGTGGAAGAAAATAGTCACAACCATATATACCAAAGAATACAGTTAAAAAAATGAATGGGAGATGATTGTCTAGGAAGGAGTATTGCTGAAAGGGATTTAGGGGTCAGAGTGGACAACAAATTAAACAGGAGTCAATAGTGTGACACTGTTGCTAAAAATGCAAACATGATTCTGGGATGCACTAACTGGAGTGTTGTGAGCAAGATACAAGTCGTCATTCTTCTACTCTACTCTGCGCTGATTAGGCCTCAAGTGGAGTATTGTGTCCAGTTCTGGGCACCACACTTCAAGAAAGATGTGGAGAAATTGGAGGAGGTCCAGAGAAGAGCAAAAATAAAGATTAAAGGTCTAGAAAACATGACCTATGAGGGATGACTGAAAGAATTGGGAATGTTTAGTTTAGAAAAGAGAAGACAAAGAGGGTGTGATAGCAGTTTTCAAATATCTAAAAGGGTGTTACAAGGAGGAGGGAGAAAAAAAATTCCTTCCAGTTCTATGAGTCTATTATTTGTTGGATATTACTATTAGTCTGGAGAAATGGAATGGAAACAAGATTCATCTCCTGGGATTTCTGAAAAAAGCTTTCAAAATAAATAATAAATAACATTGTTCATGCACCAATCAATGACGAGGGAGAGAAAAATATAGGGAAGCACAGTACTTTAGTTGTGGGTCTGCTATGAATTATTGAAAATTAAGAGAAAACTGGTAAAATATTCAAATTTAGCTTTCTGCAGTAATTTGATATTAGTGTTGATAGGAATGTATTTTCAATTAGAAGGGCTAACTCTAGGTTTGTGTGTTCTGAATGTCCAAGTTACCAAACACAATAGAAAGAATTCAGGACATATTCTGTGTGATTCTAAACTGCAGCAGATGACTTATAAATGTAAACAGCATTTTTGATACTCTTACCAGAAACTTTAACTTTCACGCCCAACATGCTGGACTCAGACCTTCACCTTCCAAGTTCGATAAATGCAAGTACATGCAGTGTACTGCAACAGATCCCTTTCACACAGAACATTAAAAATCAGTGGCTATTTGTCCTAAATGTTTCTATTGCTATAGGAGGATTTTGCCCAGCTGTATGTGCACTAAATTCTTCATGGAGGTTAGGCCCTTAGCTACTGTGGTGAATGAAATGATCACTGTATGTATTGCAGACATGCAAACATTTATTTTAGGCAAGATGCTTATTACCATGAAGTCACTGGATTTAACGGTAGTATTCATGAACTGCCTACCATATCAGACCATCTATTCCAGTCTCCTATTTCTGACAGTGGCCAATACCAAAGGTTTCACAGGAAGATGCAAGAAACCTGTTAGTGGACAATTGTGGCACAGACTACTTCTAGAAGAATTAATAATGAATATTAATATAAAGTCACAAGAATTTATATATTTTATATGTTTTAAAAATTATATCTAATTTAAACTACCAATGTTCTCATCTCTACAAAACGTCTAATCTTTTAAAAATACTACTTTGCAAAAGGATATCATTGAGTTCTACCTGCTAATTAAGTGTTCTGTAAAAAGTATCTTAAAATAAGAGGAACACTTGGTTTACATTCTCTGTACCATTTGTTACTTCATGTGCCTCTGTCATATTGCATTTTATTAATTTGTCTTCTCTTTAAAAAGTTCCAAACTTTTCCGTATTTCCCCATAAGGAATTTGTCTATGCCTTCAATCATTTTAACAATCTCTAATCCCCACCACACCCTTTTTCTGTTATGTCCTTTTTGAGATAGGATGTTCAAAACTCAATTCAATTCAAGGGGAGAACTTACTGCTGATTTATATAACAGTATTATAATATTGCAGTACAGTAAACTTCCGATAATCCGGCACCTTTAGGACCCAGGGGGTGCCGGATTATCAGATATGCCGGACTATCAGAAGGGGGGGCTATGAGGGGTCTGGGGTGGGGTGGGAGGATGCTACCCTAGACCCCCTCATAGCCCTCCCTTCTGATAGTCCGGCTGTGCCCCAGGAGTCCCCGATTCAGCCGCTGCTGGTCAGTTTCAGCAGCGGCTGAATTGGGGGCGCCTGCAGCAGAGCAGCTGGGGTGCTGCTGGGTTGGTCCGGTAGCACCGACCCTTGGCGCAGCGAGACCAACCCATCAGCACCCCAGCTGCTCTTGGGGACGCCTGGGGCAGAGCAGCTGGGGTGCTGCTGGGTTGGTCCCGCAGCGCCACTCCTC